CAAGTCAGACCTCACTGGTGTTAGCGCGGGCACAAGGGCATCCTGGAGCTCTTTCTTGATAATTCCAGCAATGTCTTCTTTAAGCGACGATAAAATCTCGAGTTTCAAGACAGCAGTGTCTGCAGCGTGTCCAGATCCAGACTCGGATAGGGTAGAGCCAGGCTCGCTCGACGCTAGCTGCACATCTGTAGCATCAGTGTTAGCCTGCATGCTAGGAGGTAGCTGCGTCTGGATGGTGGTCCGAGACTTCCTAATTGCGTTCTTTCCAGACATTTAAACGTGACCGTGCGACTCACTTAAGATGAATATGTGCTTCAACTAAGCAACCATGTAAGATTTGTAAATAAAAGCGCAAATAAATGTTACTTTTAATCGTATTCGGCAGGAGCCCGCAATCACACGTCCTACTCCATGAACAGCTCCTCCCTCCCCTCGTTGAGCACTTTTTAGTCCTAATTTCAATCTACACAGTAATCATGGAATTTCATAATCACAGTTTTTAGAATGTAATTGATTATTGACAACATAATAAAAAAAAAAACAATCCTTAGTCAAAAATGAAATTTAAAAAATGGTGGTTAAGGACTTAATGCATTCTCATTAGTCATAAAAAAGACAAATGCTATGTTGTATGTTACAGTATAAGACATTTACTGTAAAAGCAAATAAAAAAAGAAAAACATGTATTCATTTAAAAAAAAACTCACAAATGTTGAAATCAAAGTCTGTAGCAGTTAGATATGGTCTTTATTTATAGTGTCTGAGAGTTTAACTTTAGTGCGTGTACATGGCTTCAGTAAAAGCTATTGTTCGTTTACAAAGCTGGTCTGTACATTTGTTGACGGTCCCTATGCGATTTTCTCGGCGCTTGCAGTGAACTGGATTCAATGGATTTCTCTGCATTAAAACAGCTCATTGGATTTGGAAAATCAACGTATAGATGATCATTTTAGCACAATTACTTTTGTTTAACGACCTAGCTTTCGTGAACTATTGACATCGGAAGTCCGAATCTGGGAATATGACGCTACTTTACCAAACTTCTGCTGTGATGATGCTGCGGGCACGTTCCACGCTGGCGATTGTCAACGTTAAACCAATGTATGTGATCAACCTACGCCTCCTTTGACACTGATTGGCCGAAAGGTAGACACTTAAACTGTGATTATTGTGTGTGTGCGTGTCTCGTGCATGTGACAGCAGTGAGTGAGTGAGTGTATTTAAGGTGGCTCAGAAAATACGGGACAAAAGCAGTCCTGTATCGATTCAATACGGGACGCACATAGTTTTTCTATAATACGGGAGAATTCCGTATTTCAAGGGATGGTTGGCAACCCTATAGCCCCAACCCTCCAGATTATTCATATTTATTTATTTAGTTACTGCCCCTGAGCAATATGAAGTTCACCTCCTATGCTATACTCACCCTTGGTTGCAGTAGCAGACCCTGTTGCGCCCTGTGGGCCTCAATCTATGCCTTCTATGCCTACAAAGAATTTTTGAACATTTATCTAACTCTCTACAACAGGAATTGTCCCCTAAAAATGTTGAAGGGCAACAGATATGATAAAAAGCCATGGATAACTCCTGGGTTGCAGAAGGCCTATAAAAAGGAAAACAAATTATACAGAGACTTCGTCAAGTATAGAACTAAAAATCATGAAATTAAGTACAAAGGGTATAAGAACAAGTTAACAAGTATAATGCGACTGGCAAAAAAAGACTATTACAAAATTAAGTTAAACGAGAATAAGAGCAATATTAAAGAAACCTGGAAAACTCTCAAAAAGGTGATCAATCCAAATCCTCCAAATAAAAATCTGCCGGAATACTTTTGTGCAGAATGGAAATGTAATTAACAATGGAGTAGATATTGCGGAGGAGTTCAATTCTTTTTTTTGTTAACGTCGGCCCTAATATTGCTAAGAAGCTTGAAAACTCAAACCATAGTGGTAGCCAAAAAAAGGTGGAGGAAGCCGAATTTTACAGTCAATGTTTCTTGATGAAATAACAGAAGCTGAAATTCTGGACATTGTTCGAAAATGCAAAAATAAAACTTCGAGTGATAGTGACGGGATAGACATGAGGATTGTAAAAAGGACAATAGATTGCCTTCTTAAACCTTTGAGCTATATATTTAACCTTTCTCTCCGTACAGGTGTTTTCCCACAAAACATGAAGACAGCTAAGATAATACCTATTTTCAAAAACGGCGACCGGTACAAATTTAACAATTACAAACCCATTTCACTACTCCCACAGTTTTCAAAAATATTAGAAAAATGGTTTACTCACAAGTTAGATTTATTTTTCGGAAAAAAATTATTTACTCTTTGATTATCAATACGAGTTCAGATCTCAAAGATCAACATCTACTGCACTCATTTACTTAACAGAAAAAATACTTGAGGCTATTGATAAAAAATAATATTTTGTAAGCGTCTTTTTGGACTTGCAAAAGGCGTTTGATACAATCAATCACAACTTACTGTTAGCAAAATTACAAAACTACGGAATTAGGGGTCAGATCCATAAATGGCTTCAAAGTTATTTAACCAATAGACAGCAATTTGTCCAATATGATAGTCATAGTTCTGAATGTAAATCTGTTTTGTGTGGAATCCCTCAATGCTCTGTAATTGGGCCCAAACCTTTTATATTATTTATTAATGAAATTTACGAGGCTTCTAAAGATCTAAATTTTTTGTTATTTGCTGATGATACCACATTATTTAATACAGGGAAGGATCTAAATGAATTAATGGAAAACATTGAAGGGGAAATGGTCAAATTAAAGCAGTGGTTCGATTACAACAAATTATTTCTAAACTGGGATAAAACTTGTTACATGATTTTTGGGAAAAAGAACCCACAATTATCAGTCCAATTAATTATTGATAATGTAAACATTGAGTGTGTTTCAGAAGTCAAATTTTTGGGGGTAATCCTTTATAACAAACATATTGACTACATCAGAAAAAAAGTAAGTAAAAGTATTGGCTTATTGTATAAGGTCAGATACACTCTGGACAAGGCTTCATTGATGTTGTTATATACAACTTTAATTGTTCCTTATTTTACCTATTGCATCGAGGTTTGGGGAAATGCTAGTGTTATGGCCACAGAAAAATTATATCTACTTCAAAAGAAAGCCGTAAGAATCATCTGCCACAAAGGCCCTAGAGACCACACAAATAATCTCTTCACACAATTACTCTTGAAATTCAAAAATCTTGTTCACTTCAAAATTACTCAAACAATGTGGAGGGTGAAGAATAAGTTGGTGCCAGTGCACATCCATAATAAATGATTTTTAATCACAGATAGTAGTAACAGAAGGAAAGGACACTTTTGTGTGCCTTTTTCACGCACCACTTTGAAACAGAAAGGTTTCCTTGCAGCAGGTATTAAGCTTTGGAACTCTCTGGATCCTTGTGAACAATCCTGTAACACCATTGTACAGTTGAAGAAAATGTATTAAAAAAAAGTAAGTAAGTAAGTAGTAAGTAAGTAATCTTTATTTATATACCGCCTTTCACAGACCCGAGACACAAAGCGAATTACTTGCAAATTATGGTAAATGATTGGTTGTTCAAAAATCCTACAAAATAGAGGTAAACACGATAAAATCAACAATAACTACAGCAAAGTGTAAGATTGCTATGTGTAAAGGGAAAAAAATATATATATATAAAATAATAATAATGATAATAAACATATAAAGGCGTGCCATCCCATTTTTAATCTGTCAACTAAATACTGTGTCAAGGGGCATGAAACATAAGACTTTGTCTTCCACATGCTCCTATTCAGCAACATGTAATGGAATTGAACTATTTGTGTTCTTATTATTTTCATTATGATTGTAATAATGTCATGGCTGAATAAAAATAAATTAATAAATAAATAAAATAAATAAATAAAAAATCTTTTATTTGTGAGTACATTTGACACATTACTTTTACTCACTAGTTCAGTAACGCTAGTAAGTCTGTTTAGACTAAAATAAATTCATTATTTTCTGTAGAATAAAGCAATACCAGACTAAAAAAATTAAACTAGCATTGGAGCTAACAATACTGACAAAAAAACGTTTCTAGAGAGGGACAAGAAACATCTTCTTATGAACACATTTATGGAATTAATTTTTCTTACACATTCAATTACGACCAAAATGATAAAATCTAGTTATATACCTGATTTTGAGTCACATTGTTAATGTTGTATCCCTCTGTGATGTTTAGTTTTGTGGCAATAAAGTTGATCAACTCTGCGCAGGCTCGATTGTTAATGTCTGTGAGCAGTGACGTATTATTGACAGTTTGCTCACTGCTGAAATCCTTATTCTCAAAGAAGAAAATGCAAGCACACAAAAAAATCGTATTCACAAGTACGAAATCACACATACAGTTTTAATGTTTTAAATTCTTAATTACAAAATTCCATGTCTTTTTAGTTTGTATTATCTTAATCATGAATTAATAAAATATTTTTATGCACAAATACCAATAAATATGCACGCATTTTTTTAGACATGCACGTCTTTATTGACAGTCACCTTACCCCATAGGTTTTTCACACATAATCTGTACTTCTTTGCAGGTTTTCCTGACGTTTTGTCCTTAATCCAAATAACTTTTTCAAGGGAATGAAAGCTCAGGCCATGCGTTAATTTGTGGCTACCTAATCCTTAGGCTAACTCATAAACACATCTAAGGTCTGTTAAGATGTGGCAGGGAGCAGGTCTAACGACCCTGCTAGGGCTAACAATCCTAACTCATTGGATTAAGGACAAAACGTCGGGAAAACCTGCTAAGAAGTACAGATGATGGGTGAGAAACCTTCCTTTGCTATGGTAAAGGTACATATTATTTAAAACATGTTTTTTAATTTGGAACAACTGTAAAAAATTACCTAAGTACCTTTAAGTCTGAGGACCCTAACCTTCATTCATATTTAGAAGTCCGTCTAAATGCATTTTCGTTTGTGTTTGTGCGCAGATCCTGTCAAAGGGTAAAATAGTGACATTTGGCACAATGCCGTTCACCAAGACTGCGGGGAACAAGCACGCGCTAAGTTTCCAGGTCACTGCAGAGATGGTGCCCTCTATCAGGCTCCTGGTGTACTACATGCCTTACGGAGAGACGACCACGGAGCTGGTGGCTGACGCAGTCTGGCTCAACATCCAGGGAGACTGTGTCAACGGACTACAGGTGAGGCTCAACCAGTGGGGGAGAGGCCAAAATGACGTGCGCTGACATGCTTGCAATACCACCCTGGGCCGATGGGGGTGGACCCAGAAGTAGAATTAGCCAATGCTAACATATAGCATTGGCAGACCTCTCAAAAACGTCTTTACAGGATGGACCAAAAGTTGGCTCTTGGCCCAAAGCTCCGTTCCACATGTGTGTCAATGCTGAGGGGGGTGGATTTTTTTGGTCCACTCTAGTTTACTTGCTGTGAATTTTTGAAGTCTCTCGTTCAAATGAATGGAGTTGCGCCGGCTGACGCATGCGCAGATGCGTTTTTTCACAATTTTCCTGTGGGCGGGACCACTCGCGGCCCTTTTGGATTGCTCCAGTAGAGCAAATTTTTTGGCCCATTAGTTAGAACGGCAGAGATAGGCGTGACTCTGTCCATTACTATATACAGTCTATGGGCTCAACCAGGGCCGAACCAGGGCTGAACCAGGGCCAAACCAGGGCCGAACCAGGGCCAAACCAGAGCCGAACCAGGGCCAAACCAAGGCCGAACCAGGGCCAAACCAAGGCCAAACTAGGGCCAAACCAGGGCTTAGTATTGACTTGGGGGCTAAACTAAACCAGACCTAAAGCAGGAGCAGTTATCTAAAATATTTAAACAGCTATTTACCAGGACGTTTAAAGTATAATTATAAAGAACCGGCTGTACAACTGTTTCATTCAAACTTAAACAAAATTGAACATGATTAGATTTAAAGAATTGACTGAAATGTTTAGCTGAGTTAAGTCAGGTCCAAGACTTGTCAAGAAAACGTTCTTGTGAACATAATGCTGAGGATGTGGTCTTCACATCAATGCTGTTTGCAGACGGAGCTGAAAACCCGAGCGTCGCACTTCAAACCGAAGCAGAACCTGAACATGGAAGTAAGCGTGAATCAGGACGGCTTCATCGCCATGACAGCAGTGGACACGGGCCTCTATAGCCTGCGGCCCAACTACAAGGATCCAATCAACAGGGTGAGACCTGTGTATGCATGAGTGAGCACGCGTGAGCACGCGTGAGCGCGTGTATGAGTGTGCGCATGAACACGCGTGGGCGCGTGTATGAGTGTGCATGAGCACGCGTGAGCGCGTGTATGAGTGTGCGCGTGAGCACGCGTAAGTGCGTGTATGAGTGTGCGCGTGAGCACGCGTGAGTGCGTGTAAGAGTGTGCGCGTGAGCACGCGTGAGTGCGTGTATGAGTGTGCGCGTGAGCACGCGTGAGTGCGTGTGTGAGTGTGCGCTTGACTACTTGTGAAGGTAATTAGTGAGATCTAGAGACTGTCGAAGGATTAGAATAATTATATAATAATGAAAGTGCTGGCGTCCCCCATAACCGATTTGAACAGTAGCGTATTGGGACTAAATGTCTACATGTGTATATTTCCTTTTGTTAATTTTTTTATGACATGACAGTACATGCAGAGGAGCTATCAGAGGCATTTGACTTGACCTGTGCAGTCTTTCTGAACGAAGTAGCCCCTTTGGTGTCCAAGTGGCAAAAGCCTGCGTCAGAGCCTTGGCTCAACGAGGACACGCGTGCGCTCAGACGAGTGCAGGCGCGTGGAGCGTAAATGGGAAAACGACAAGTTACACGTCTCCCTTGGAATATATAGAGACTGTTTTGCCAAGTATCAACGAACTGTTAAGACTGCAAAAGCTCAGTATATAGCTACATTTTATTTGAATGAACAGCCAGAGACAGCAAATTTCTTTTTAATGTTTTGAATGGTTTGGTTAACCCTGTGCCCTCTTCTTGTCCCATCTGAACCGTTGAGCAAGGATTTCCTGTCATTTTTTGTTAACAAAATATCGCACATTAGGATTTCACCTGTTTTCTTAAATGTCACTGAGCCCATTGTAAACACTGTGTCTGATACCTTTGATGAGTTCACGCCTGTATCCTTCACTGAGTTGTTCAGAGTTGTCCAGCATCTTAAACAGTCCAATTGTCTCCTGGATACTGTTCCTGCACATTTTCTAAAAAGAGTTTTTGGTGTTGTTGGGCCTTACGTCACGCATGTTATTAATGCGTCCCTTTTATCTGGCTGTGTTCCGGGTGTTTTTAAGCAAGCTGTAGTTCAGCCATTTCTTAAGAATCCCACCTTGGACAACACTGTTCTTGCTAAACATGGCTACACACAGCTACACACATAGCTACACACAGACATTTCGGACTCCGCAGTCGCTCTGGATGTATTCCACACTATCAGAGCAGACCGCACCGCGGACAGTGGAAAGACGAGAGGCGGAGGGCTAGCCGTGTTTGTAAACAACAGCTACGGCAAGCCGGAGCACTGCTCTGTAAAACGCCAGGTGTGTGAGAAAGACATTGAACTTCTTGCCATTGGTGTGCGGCCATACTATCTGCCGCGGGAGTTTGGGCATGTTATTCTCATAGCTGTCTATGTCCCTCCATCTGCAAAAGCAGACAGTGCGTGTGATGCTCTGCTCTCCACTGTCTGTGACCTACAGACGCAGCACCCGCAGGCCTTATTTGTAATTACTGGGGACTTCAACCACGCGTCCCCGGCCTCTACACTGCCACTGTTCACACAATATGTCTCCTGTCCCACTAGAGGAGACAAAATATTGGATCTGTTCTTCAGCAGTGCCAAGGACGCATACACATCGGCCGCTTTCCCCCCGCTTGGCAGAGCTGACCAGGAAAATGCGGTGTTTTTCCAACAACAAGCCGTGGATTAATTCCGACGTAAAGGCCCTGCTGAAGGCAAAGAAGCGCGCTTTTCGATCTGGGAACAAAGAGGAGCTGAGAGACGTACAGAGACATCTGAGAACATCAGCGAGGGAGGCCAAAGCTCGATACAGGGGCAAAATGGAAGAGCAGCTAAGCAGATAGAACGGGCATCACCAAAGGGCGAACCTTGGTCCGGACCCGGATCGAGTGATGGTTCTGTCCAGACCCGTGAGCCGTGACCAATCTCTGATAAATCTACGAGAATAGTCGATTACATGGAGCATTTTTTCTGACGGTCGCAACTATAGTCGGCGAGCGCTGCTACTCCAGTTAATACTGCTTGCCTGGCCTGCCAGACACTCCTCCTTTCTGTTCAAAAGAAGAACCGTCTGGACACCTCTTCCTAGCCTATCATTTCACGATTTTACCCACATCGGTCCAATCACGCATCGAGAGGCGGGACTTCCTTTCACCTTTGAGTTGCTTATAACTCCTCGTATCTTTAAGTTTTTGTTACAAAATCGACAGCAGTCGTTTACATTTGCACTAGCTGACATGCCGCCATCCCGTGTTTTGTGTTTACTGAAACGGCTTGGGTGCCGCTAGTTGCTGCGTCATATCCTGTGTGCATCTAATTGGTTGATGCAGTTTGTCAACCACTCCCACCGGGAATTCGCTGAGATCAAGCTCGTTCCCAGACTATATGTCTTTGAAAAAGCATATCGTTTGGCAGGCCAGGCACGCAAAATAACCGAACTGCAAGCCCAGTATGACAGGTCTACCCGACTCATCACGCATACATTTACAGCCCAGCAACGTGCAAACGAATGTTCACTAAAGGTATCTTGGATTTTGGGGCAACACAAAAAACCATTTAGTGATGGGACAGTTGTGAAGGAGTGCTTAAATGCTGTTACTGAGACATTATTTGAGGGGGAAAAAAGGACGAGATGTGTGAAAAAAATTAAACAAATCCCGATGTCAGCTTCAACAGCAATCTGAAATACTGTATTAGCAGATGATGTACTGGCACAGCTTGATGCAGCCATCCAGAGTGCACCATGCATTTCTTTGGCCATTGATGAATCCACAGATGTTACTGATAAGGCCCAGCTTTTGGTGTATGTGAGATTTCATCACAAAGATAAGAAGGAGCTCTGTGAGGACTTGCTGGGTGTAACACCACTTGAAACACACACAAGAGGAGAGGACATATATGCAACAATAAAAGAGATGCTGACAAAGAGAGGCATAGATATGAAGCAGGTTGTCTCTGTCACCACGGATGATGCCCCTGCCATGGTGGGAAAAGAGCGGGGGGCTGTGTCCCGGATGAAAGAGGACAATCCAGATCTTATTGCTTATCACTGTCTCATCCATCAGACTGCTCTGTGTGCCACTCTATCAGAACATTTAGCTGAAATAATGAACACAGTGATGAAACTCATCAACTTCATTCGAAAAGAAATTAGCAGCTCAAGAGCCAGAGAGCAACACAGTTTTCACTGTTTCTGCAAGATGAGCACAAGATGGATATGGTTGCTTTTTTGGTTGACATTACATCACATATTAATAATCTCAATTTAAAGCTGCAGGGCCAGAACAATTCAGTTGCTGATTTGATGACAGCTGTTCGCTCTTTCCAGAGGAAGCTGGACATTTTCAGAGAAGATATTGAGGGAGAGTGTGAACACTTCCCAAAACTGCAGGAACAGATGCAGGGTGAGAGAGATGTTTCTCCCTATGTTGACTTCATCAAAAAGCGGATTGAAAACTTCAGTAACAGGTTCAACAGCTTCTGCCTTGGGCCACAGCTCCTCCTGCTAATCCAGAATCCTTTCCTCATCAGAGAGGTCAGAGGATTTTCAAATGAGATGACAGACATTCAAGTGGGCACATGCAAGATCTCTACAGCTTGAGCTCATTGATCTGCAAGGAAATGCTGCCTTAAAAGAGCATTTTGAGGCAACTGACCCTGCAACCTTCTGGCTTCAGACTGTGTCTGAGAGTGTGTTCCCCGGTCTCAGTAAAGTAGCACTGCACACCTTGACCATGTTTGGGTCTACTTACACCTGTGAGTCAGCCTTTTCCACCATGAACATCATCAAAAATAAGTACCGTTCTAGGCTGACCAATAGCCACTTACATGTCTGCATGAGGATGGCCCTGACTCCATTCCAACCCAGATTTAAATCACTGGCAGGGCAGTCACATGCCCATTTTTCTCATTAAGAGAAAAAGAATAATCAAAAGAGAAAGGTGGTGTCCAAGCTCTGTTCTCATTTTTTCCCCCTAAAAGAGAATTTTTTTATTTATTATTTCCTGAAGATGTTTACTTTTTTACTTGAAGTGTGTTTCTTTAGGCTGGGACCTCTTTAATTTAAGAGAAAGAATGTTTTTTAGTTACTTTTACTTTTAGTTTACTTTTATTTATTTTATTCTCAGGTTTCTGTTTTCTTGAATGAAAAAAGGCTTTACATTTTTTGCCTGCAGGACTACTTGTATTTATGGTAAAAGAGCTAGTTTACTATAAAGTTCACTCTGTTAAAGGTTTCCTGCATTGACAATAAATATTACTGAAACCATACGAAAATGTGTGTTTAAATGAAAATGTTTGGACCTTTTACTTGGAGGAAATTTTAGTAACTGGACCTCGTGACTTTTAATTGAATACCCCTGAGATAGAACATCAAGGGTTTTTGGGACAATCTGAAGGCCATCTCAGGATTCAAACCAAAACCTGTTCCGCAGGTGGGGGACAGACAATGGGTTAACAACTTGAACACGTTTTACCTGCAGTTCAATCAACAACCCGCCCCACCCCCTGCTCTGCTGCTGTCCACCCCTGCTGGAGAACAATGTCCCAACTGGAATGGACCACGACCTGTCTGATTGGATCCTGGACTACCTCACAGACAGACCCCAGTTTGTGAGAACCAGGGACTTTGTGTCTGAGGTCCTGACCTGCAGTGTGGGGTCCCCCAGGGGACAGTCCTCGCGCCGTTCCTCTTCACCCGCTACACTGCTGACTTCAGACACAACACGGACGGTTGTGTCCTACAGAAGTTCTCTGACGACTCTGCCATCATCGGACTCAGCTCCGAGGACGATGACACAGAGTACAGAGGAGTTATACAGGACTTTGTGGACTGGTGTCAGCGGAACCACCTCCTCATCAACGCAGGGAAGACCAAGGAGATGGTGGTGGATTTCCGCAGACGTCACTCTGCCACTCCAGCCCCAGTGAACATCCAGGGAAAGGACATTGAGAGAGTGGACTCTTACAGGTACCTGGGTGTTCATCTGAACCACAAACTGGACTGGACTCATAACACAGACGCCCTCTTCAAGAAGGGCCAGAGCCGACTCTACCTGCTGAGGAGGCTCAGGTCTTTTGGAGCGCATGGGCCACTCCTGAAGACCTTCTATGACTCTGTGGTGGCATCAGCCATCTTGTACGGTGTGGTCTGCTGGAGCAGCAGCATCACAGAGAGGGACAGGAAGAAGCTGGACAAGGTCATCAGGAAGTCCAGCTCAGTCCTGGGCTGTTCCCTGGACACAGTGCAGCAGGTGGGGGACAGGAGGGTCCTGGACAAACTAACATCTATGCTGGACCATGACTGTCACCCCCTGCAGGACACTCTCTCTGCTCTGGAGAGCAGCTTCAGTGACAGACTTATTCATCCTCGATGTGTGAAGGAGAGGTTCCACAGGTCTTTCCTTCCTGCTGCTATCAGATTGTGCAACAAACAATAAGGACTAATGAACACTGCCAACCTGATTCCAACCTGTTTCCACGTGTCATGCATCGTTGCAATATCCTTATTTTATACCAGAATGTGCAATATACTGCTGCTAATTTACAGTTGTAAACATACTGCTGCTAATGTATAGATGCCAACATACTGCTGCTAATGTACAGATGTAAACATACTGCTGCTAATGGACAGATGCTAACATATAACCACACTTTACTTGCACTAGAATACACAGTACTTTATACTTTATATATAATGTTACATCTATATTTTTATATTTATTATTGATGCTAGAGTTAGACATTTTGTTTTATTAGGACAGCTATTACTATTCTATAACTTGTGAAGCAACACTGAAATTTCCCCGCTGTGGAACGAATAAAGGATCTCTTAATCTTAATCTTAATCGTACAAGCCTATTTTGAAGCTGCCTTTTTTAGCCAAAGTAATGGAGAAAACTATTCTTAATCAATTCCAACAGCATCTGGACACAAATGGTATCTTTGACACATTCCAATCAGGTTTTAAAGCTCTACATAGAGACTGCACTACTCTAGAGTTTTTATTGATCTGGTTTTGACATCTGACTCTGTTTTTTCCTAGTTCTCCTTTTAGTTCTTTTAGATTTGACAGCTGCTTTTGACACTGTAGATAACAGCATTTTAATTTTGCGTTAGGAGCACTACGCTAGTTTTGAAGGCACTGCATTAAACTTGTTCAGATCGTATCTTGGCGATACAGTAGGTGTGTTTCTGGGTCCTACAAGTCTAGTCTGGCACCCCTTAATTGTGGTGTTCCACAGGGCTCCATTTTAGGCCCCGCCCTTTTTTCTTTCTTTGTATGTGCTGCCACTTGGCGATATTCTAAAGAAACTCTATGTCTCCTTTCATGCTTATGCTGATGACCTGCAGATCTTCCTGCCTTTAAAGCTCACCTCAGTGTCAAATACAAGACTCCTAGATTGTCAAAAAAAATTAATTCTGCCAAAGCATCAATGTCCAAGTACACTCAACAACTATTACCCCATGTTACTTACACCACTTGTAATGAAGTGCTTTGAACCTCTACTACAATAATATCAACACATATGCTAGGATGATGTTCAGCTCAGTTTTTTTACCCCATCCTTCTAATCTAATCTAATCTAATCTGAACTAAAAACCGGATCACAGAGAGCACTAAACCACAGATTTGTTAAGCCTAAAATGGTGATTGTGACTTGAAAGGTTACTGAGCTGGAGGAGTTTACTTTCCAATGTAAGTCATTAGGAGCCAGAGCAAGTGTCCACAGCTGTTTTCTTTCAGGTTCTCCGCCACATTGAGAGTGCAGACCAAGGCTGCGGAGGAGGAGGGGGGAGGAATGCTGCAGATGTCTTCAGACTGGCAGGACTGAGCTTAATCACCAACGCTGTTTCTGGACAGACATCCCGTGAGTTTGATTTTTAAGGCTGTAGATGTGTCCAGAACTGACTGACATGCTCTTTAAACAATTTGTTAGTATCACACATTTTAGTAGATTTTTGTCACATCCTTAGTTTTAGCAGAAAACTTCATATCAATCATATCCTCACTCTCAGCCAAAAGCCTTAACTTGTTACTCACATGACTCTTTCTTTAAGATAACATGTTTTTAAATAAGATTAGGACAGCATGTTTATTTATTCATTTTACTTTAAGACTTTCTGTTGGGCAAACAACATTTGCATGTATGATTTTTATCTTTTTAATAGTCTCATGTACTTTTTTTCGTCTGACAGCCATGTTCCTCATTAAAAAGCAGTATTTGAGTTTTTTGCTCCATTCATGATATGATAGGAACTTATGTCACTGGTTATGACCCAGCTCTGCTAGGGTGAGGGAGGTTACAAAGAACCTAAGATGTTAAATGGAAAAGCAAGTATTTTAATAACAGGAATGTAAATGCCAAGGTGACGTAAATCAAAACTGACAAAATACATAAGGATAGGCTATGTACTAACACAGAAACTTAACTCTTACTGCTGTCTCAACGAAGGAGAATTTTCACAAAAACTAAACCTGAAGTGACAACTAAAATTAGACTAACCAAATAAAAGCTATAAGAACAATGTCTATCAAGACATTGTCACACCTCGTGACAACCACAAACATTTCCCATGGGGCCGTAACAGTCACAAACACGTCCCTCTGCCCCTTCTGTCTAAATGCTCCCATCTCAAACTTGTTATACTACAATAAATCCTTACAATGTGACATCATGAGAAATGTTGTCAGCCTTGCATACAATTTTTGATAGTGAAGCCAATACTTCCCTGTGGTGGTAGTGGGGTTTATCCATATATTTTCTACTAAGAACATTATCAATTGCTCTGTTATTGCATATAAACTCTAAAACTGTCCAGTCAAGAGGCAAAGAGGCTCATCCAGGAAGTGGTCTGGACAGACAATGTATCAAAGGCATTTTACACATTATATACACTAATCTGTGTCTTACAGCTGAGCCTTGCACTGCCTTCGTCCGAGCAAAACGAGCCATTTCAGAGGAGATAAAACAGAAGATATGTAAGAATCATTTGCTCTCCTTCTGTCTTCCATGATCATTCTTTTTGGTCTTCATCTTTAGGCTCAATGGGCCTCATTCACCAATATCGTCTTAAGAATCTTCCTAAATTCCTTCTCAAGTCGTTCTCAAGTAGATTTCTAGGAAGACCCTACGTGGGATTAATCAACGCGCTCGTAAGCCACTGAATTGTTTGCAGCTGTTCTCTTAGATTGATGAATGCCAACTCCTCGTAAATACAGCGCGCGTGCCAGGTGATTCATTAGTATAGGTACTTAGCATTGGACAATCGCCCAATAATGCCCATAAAAGGGACTGCAGGGCCATATACAGATGTCAGAGGAAACAGCAACATGCCCAAGGCAAAGAGTTACACGGAGCGAAAGAGTCACCCTTTTTTCTTCTTTTGCCGCACTGAGAATAAAGTCATAACATTTTGACTTTGAAGTCGAAATATTATGAGTATAAAGTCGAACTAGAAAAATTATGAGATACATCTAAAATTGTTATGAGATTAATTTTAATATATTATGTACTACTTTAAATATTAATCTAAAAATGTTATGAGATTAATCTATAAATATTTCGGACCCTGGGAGGAGATCCACCGCTGACCAGCGCTGAGACCAATGCAGACCCGAGGAGAGACATAGACTGGAGAGACCATAGAGACCAGCGCGGACTTGTAATAGATCCATGGGAGAGACCAGCACCGAGACTCAGCGCGGACCCGCAACCTCCTGCAGCAGCCGTATATACCATTGTTCTGTGGCCAGTGGATGGAGAAATGTATGATGGATTTCCAATGTATTTTATATAGCGTTGGCACATTTAATTAATTAAAAATAGGATAAATTACCACAAAAAATAAAATGAATAAATACATACATAATATGACAGACTTATCACTGTAATGTTGTGTTTTATTGAACTTCACAAAAGAAGACAACACCAGCGTGCAAACATGTCGGCACTGAATGTGCTTAATAGTGCTCCTGAGCACTCGTAGGATTTGTACTTGCCCAAGAGAGATTCTGGATACGGGAAAAATTCATGAATGCCACAATCTTCGTAAAATCCTCTTAAGTAGGATTTACACACACATTTGTTCCTAAGAATGGTTCGTGAATGAGGCCCATTGTTTCTTATATATCTAACCTATTGTAGTGAAGTAGTTTGTATACCTTCTGTCTGATCCTCTCTGCTCTCTCTAACCACCTGTGTGTCCTCAGTGGCCCAGTACAAACATCCTACCATTGCACAGTGCTGTAAGAATGGGATGGGATACTCTCCCACCTTCATGAACTGTGAACAGTATGCTGACAATAAGTATGCAAAGTATACAAAATGCCGTGATGCCTTCAGGGACTGCTGCTTGTTCATTCAAAGAGAACTCAATAATGGATTATTCCTGGGCAGAGCAGGTCTGTACTAATCATCTCTTTTCGTGAAAATTGAGAAAGTAATGTTACAGAGAGTTGTGTTATCCCTTTAGGCTCCAGAGGTTTTTCAGAAATATTATGTGAAACTTAAAAAGGTGGAGCCCTGAATCTTTAAAAGAGAGTGCACTACTTAAACAAGAATAATGTAATGCAATGTGTTGGGGAAATTATTTTTGGGAAGCCAGGGCGCTGTATAGAAAGTGTCCTTTTGTCAGAAAGTGTCCTTGAGTAGAAATTCTGCTACTTTGGCACCTAAATGGAGCTGCAGAGAGTACTAAATTATGCTGTTAATTTACAAGTGTACATTGATCCATGCAATCTACATAAAGAATAGATAGATATTCAAAAAAGCAGTAGTTGGAAATTAAAAAGGAACGATGCTTACTCATGTAAAAGACACAACTCAAGTGAGTAAAATACTCAAATATTTTTTTTGAACAGAACTGGGAGGAGATTTTGATCAAGTTCCAACTCTGGTGAGGAGCTCTTTTCCAGAAAGCTGGCTCTGGCAAGTCCGGCAAATAAAGTGAGTCCTGGACCAGTCACATTTTCACCTTGTTGTGCACACATTTGTTCTTTTGCCACTGTGTTTTTTGTTGGGATTTTGTTATCTATAACTGAAACACAGTGAAGGCCCCGCTTCATTCTGTAGCTTTATAACTTCCCCATATTAACCATACTCTCATTGAAGTGCTGTTCTATTCTCTTGTAGATGCTCATTATGCTGACCTATGAATTGCTGGGCCCCAGGAAAAATGTTTTACAAATGCTTTACAACTACAGCAGTAGTAATAACATTTTAAATCATCAAAACCATATTGAGAAAAGTATTTTATAACTTGCTCATTAACTAATTAATTTATTTTTATGAGCAGCAGCCTGTTTTAAAGCTTTGATTGCTTTGTATATTTATAAATTATCAGAATTGCAGAATAGTTTGGACTAGATATAACCACCATATCTTGTTTTGTTTTTTTCATTTATTATGTTTTTTTTTTAGAGATGAGATATCTGTATTGCTCGCCTCCATTTTCTCTTTTGTGAAAGGTAAAGGTGCACTTTATAAATCCCCGTTTGGCAATTCATCCTTTGCATTTGACCCATAATGATGAGAAGCGAGAGTCACTCAGCCACCGTGTTGCCCAAATGAAATGAAATTATGAATGGTTTTATAATAATGAAATTATCATTTTCCTCTTCTTCTTCCATATTTCCTCTGTAACTGTGTGTCATCCCCTACTGTACATCCTGTGCAGTCGTGGGTCCTTATCTCTGATGGAGCAGCTGCCTGACTCCTTAACCACATGGCACATCAAAACTGTGGGACTGTTCGACAATGGTCAGCATGCATTCTAAAGCTCATATATTATAAGGCTTTTATGACTCTGTGTGGGACATGAAAGCTCTGTAGCATTTGTGTCGTTTTCCAGGTATCTGCGTGGCCAAAACAGTGGAAGTCTCTGTGAACCTGCCTCTGTCCGTGGACGTGCCGCTGCCGTATCAGATTGTGAGAGGCGAACAGGTCGAGCTGCAAGGCTCTGTGTACAACCAGCTCAGCGACACCATCCAGGTACTACACCACTGGTACAAGTCCTGCTCTATAGGTGTTTCTGCTGCACCAGCGCAGTGCCGACTCACTTTGTAAAATGAAAAAAGTCTGTTATAACACAAATGTAGTGTAGTTGTTGCCCTACATACTAGGCCCAAACCAAATGGATATTAAAGAGAACATTTAATGGTAAAAGATACATAGACATAGGGTGGTGGTGCAGGTGGTGAGTCCACAGGAGCTGAGATCTTTCAGTGGGGGCTTCAGGCAAAGTATCTTGCCCAAGGACACAACCACAGCAGTCATCAGTGGGAATCGTGAAGTAGGTCTTACAGTCGGCTCGAACCCGCTACCTTCAGGCCCAAAGGCCAGTGCTCTACCAACTGAGCCACTGTCGCCCACATAGACATAGCATGTAAATCATATCCCAGGGAGAGATGGCTGGATTGAGAGAAAGAGAAGCATAGAATGATCTTCCTGTTGATGGAGAGCATACGCAGACCAAGAGACCAAGCAATATTTTTTTCTTTAGATACATATATACAACATTTACATCAAACAACGTCTTATTTCGACACATTGACAATTTCAGTGTGTTGTACTTTGCCATAAAGATATTAGTAATAAAGATTACTTACTTAATCATATATATATATATATATATATATATATATTACACACATACATAAACATACAGATTTCATTATTCTATTACTTCTTCATAAATGTTATTGAAAAGTGAAAAGTATTGCTTTTATGTTGGTTAGTGTTTTAACAAAATTCTAATAATTCTTTATTTCTATAAGAATAACTGATGGGTGCTCAGAGAGACAAGCAGCATCTGAGAAAGTCTTCTTTTTCTCTTTTGAGTTCTGTGTGACCCTGAGTGTAGGACCAGAGCTGTGCCTGGCTCACTCTGAAGCTGCAGCAGACAGCTCAAAGCAGCGCTCCTCTGCCTGCGAGTCCAGGACGGTCTCTGCTGGAGGAGTGGTAGAAGTGCGCTTCACGCTGATGGCACTGGAGGTGGGCAAACACACACTCACGTTTACCCTGTACGAAGCCCCTGTCGGGAAAAGAAGCAAAGGCCCTTTGAGGCCCCTGGACACGCTGGTTAAAGTCCTCAATGTTGTGGTACGTCGCTTTGATTAAGACCCACTGAATCTGTCCGAGCTGATTACCTCTGCTCTGTCTTAGCCTGAAGGGGTGCGGAAGGAGGTGATGGTCGGAGGACGCCTGGACCCTCGTGGACTCTACGGTAAAACCTGGGATGTACCAATCCAACCTTTTTTTGTCCGATAACAGTCGCTGAACTGTGACTTTGGCCTGGGGAAAATACTAAAATCACAACTGTATATAATAGTTTTATTACATCAACTCAGGGTATCTGCTATTAAACTGGTCCAATAACGTTATCTAAAACCAGTATTTTATTGGTGTGTGCTTAGGTAAAAGCCCAGCTCTGGGATCTCTCACACTCTAAAAGGACTTTGAAATTCATTAATAAACAAGACCTCTTTCTCAAGCACAGAATTTTTTAGAAAGATGCGTTTTCGGATCGACTACAGATTTATTAATTGTCATTTTTTTCTAGAACATTCGTTTCAGGTCCATATAAAGTGTTGGTTATGGACACAAATGTTTTTTCCCTGATGATCATCTGGGTCAGTTCAACAGAAATCCTGAGAGCTAACAAATATAGATAAAGCCATCAGTTTTATATAATGTGTTACAGACGTGGTTTGTTTTTTCAGGTTCAGAGAAGATGAAGGTAGAACTGATTAGTGCACTGCCTCAGAACATCGTCCCAAACACCGAGGTCGAGAGGATGCTCACTATCAATGGTACATTGTGTGGTTTTACGACACAAAGTGTTCCTTTTAGATAATCAAATCAGAAACTCCCACTTCATTTTCACATTGTATTTGTACTGTAGCTATAACCGTGTCATAAAATTGTTCCCTCATCAGAAATTTAGTTAATTTTAGATACATCCAGGAACTTCAGGAACTTCTGGCACAAACGTCTAACTCTGCTCCTTCTCTTGTCTCACTCCTGTAATACTATGAAAAAATTATATCAAGCGGCACAGTGGCTGAGCACTCTTGCTTCTCAGCAAGAAGGGACTGGGTTCTACAATCAAGTACAACTTAACAACCTAACTTAACTTAACCTATGACATCACACACTGCCTTCTAAAACAATTTTTTTGCCCATAAATTAGTTTTCTCTTGTAAAATAATGTTTGAAAATGCAAAGATATCTCTACTTCCCTCTTGTGGTAGCATAGTCAAAAAAAAAGATTTATACCTTCATATTTGTTTTACCCTACATTTCTGTAATCGGAGCGAGTGAGGAACCAGCGTCTCTTCAGGATCTAAGCCTAGAAGACGCCTTTACCTTGCTCTATAATGCAGACTCCCTAGTAGGGCCTGGCTTTGTGTAGCGCTTGTCCCGACCTGCCTCGTGCTGGGCCTAGGATAGCTAAGTTCTATTTTTCTCGGTTTTCTTTCTAGAAGCTCTAGGTGCGATATGCCAAAATCAGTCTACTTTTACTACTCACCTCAGCCTAGGGCCGCCCTGCCCTGTCCAAGCGTTCTTCAAGGAAGGTTTTCAGAAAATGTGAAGCGGAGTCGAAAAGTTGTCTTTCTTGAGCCTAAGCGACTCTTTTATTTAAAGCGAAGCAGGCAAAGCAGCAATCCAAGTTACAGAGCTACAAAGGTCTCGCGTTACAAGTCTCTCACAAGGACCCCTGAATGAAAGCCTCCGGCTGCTCTCGTCTGCGCTGCGCGCTGCCCAACTGCCTGACACTCTCTGAGTCTCCCTATTTATAGCGCATGCAGTCTACACACAGTGGAAAGCCCCCTCAGCATTAAGGATGACCTCATTCAGGAAGTACATGTACATATATGGGCAAGGAAGGAAATGCATATATGGTCATGACAGGAAGGATGTGCATATTTGGTCCTCCTGCTTGTATGAACTTTCCCCCAGTTATTTGAACTTTCCCCTAGATAGCTCAGAGGCTGCGCAGAGGAGTGACCTTTTACCCAGTTATTTGAACTTTCCCCCAGTTATCATCGAGGCTGCGCAGAGGAATGAACTTTCACCTACTTAAATGAACTTTGGCCCAGTTCTTAAGCATATACGATCCTTCCTTGCCGTGAACTTTAACACACTTAAATGAACTTTAACCTAGTTAGCATAATGTTACATAAATCACATTAAATCACATTACATTTTATCAAATCACATTACTGACCATCAGGATCACTATTTAACGCATTTTCCTGTTATTTTGTATTACATCACAAAATCATATTTTGTATTACAATTTCCATTTCATAAAACAGTGACAATGGATATAGTCTCAATATAATCTAATATGTTTTTTCTAATAAGCAAAATGTGTCTTGTGTTACTAAGGTAATATAAACATTATTGATAATGGAAAATTCACATGCAACATTTTCCTGAAATAAGTGGGTAAGTTCTACTGTACGTGAAACAAGGCTTATGGTTCCCTTAACAAACCACATTTGTAGGTTTGGCTGCTATATAACTGTGGCCCCTGTCTGGTTTCAGGTGAGATCCTGGATGAGTGGGTGTCAGTGGTGGACAATCCTGAGGGCCTGAAGAAGCTGCTGTCTCTTCAGGACGGCAGTGCGGAATCGGAGCTGGGAGGAGTGCTGCCCTTGCTCCACGTCTATCAGTATCTGGAGGTCACGGGACGCTGGCTCATCCTGGGGCCTGATGTCAAGAAGAACTCTGAGCAGCTCAAGGACCGCATCCGCAAGGGTATACAACTGTTTCATTGGAACTGCTGAATATTCTCACGTTAAAATATGCAGAAATAGTAACAATAATCCCTCAGCCCAGTCTAGGCTGTAGCAGGCTATGGTGCTTAATCCTGCAGCAGTGACTCACAGGATTTATGATGTGATAAGGACTTAACACACAGGTGTGCATTCTCTGTGATCCGCGCACTTGTACTAATTCATATTATATTTATGTTTTATTATTAGTATTTATTCCATCCCATTTTCTTCCGCTTCATCTATTGCTGGGTCACGGGGGCAGCAGTTTAAGCAGAGACGCCCAGACTTCCCTTTACACACACACTTCCTCCAGCTCGTCCGGGGGGACCCCAAGGCGTTCACAGGCCAGCTGAGAGACATAGTCCCTCCATCATGTCCTGGGTATTCCCTGGGGTCTCCTCCTGGTGGGTCAGGTCTGACTTAGGCTGCGGCCACATGCGCAGTGTAGATGGGCCGATTTCAAATATTTCACCTGACCTAAACCCTAGAGTTGAACAATGGATTCAAGTTTTGTGCAAATCAGACTTTGTTTGTGCAAACAGGAGCAAATTTAATGTTGTCATAAACGGTCACATTTTGCCGCTCCGCTGCTCAAACAATGTTTCACTGATCAAAAAACCCTGAGGTCATTTTGATGGTACATGTGTTTAGACGAAGTGGAGTGAATAAAATGGGCCAGGGCCCACTTTGCGGTTTGATCTGGGCTTTAGGTCCTTTGTGACCGCGGCGATCGCGCTTGAGCACACTTCCTGCAATCGTGCTCAAGTGCGGATAAAAACTCGGGCCAGGGTCCACTTCGCAGCGCGGATGAGGGGGGTCAGTGTTGCGGGTGGTGGGGAGTGTGGAATGAGGTGTGGTGGGGACGTGATATTGTGCGTCACATTACGTCTTCCTGTGACACGCATATTCACAGATTCAGTTTCATTTTATTACAACTCTCCTGCACTTTTGTATTCTCCGATTGTGTTAAACCTTTCATATAAGCCCCCGGACCATGGTTGAGGGGCGTTGGGGGAGTGTGTGGCTGCAGGGCCAAAGAAAAGCTGTCATGGTGTGGATTTTATTTTTGTATTTTTGTTTTATTTTGACATCTGTTATCTGTGGATTAGTTTTAGTTTGACTTGCTGTCCTGTTTCCCCTGTCTTGATTGTCTGCCCCACCCTGATGGGTTTCACCTGTGTCTCTGTCTATACAGTGCCTTGCGAAAGTATTCGGCCCCCTTGATCCTTTCAACATTTCGCCACATTTCAGGCTTCAAACTAAAGATATAAAAATTAAATTTTTTGTCAAGAATCAACAACAAGTGGGACACAATCGTGAAGTGCAACGAAATTTATTGGATAATTTAAACTTTTTTAACAAATAAAAAACTGAAAAGTGGGGCATGCAGTATTATTCGGCCCCCTTGCGCTAATACTTTGTAGCGCCACCTTTTGCTGCAATTACAGCTGCAAGTCGCTTGGGGTATGTCTCTATCAGTTTTGCACATCGAGAGACTGGAATTCTTGCCCATTTTGCCTTGCAAAACAGCTCAAGCTCAGTGAGGTTGGATGGAGAGCGTTTGTGAACAGCAGTCTTCAGCTCTTTCCACAGATTCTTGATTGGATTCAGGTCTGGACTTTGACTTTGCCATTCTAACACCTGGATACGTCTATTTGTGAACCATTCCATTGTAGATTTGGCTTTATGTTTTGGATCATTGTCCTGTTGGAAGATAAATCTCCGTCCCAGTCTCAGGTCTTTTGCAGACTCCAACAGGTTTTCTGCCAGAATGGTCCTGTATTTGGCTCCATCCATCTTCCCATCTTTTAGCCATCTTCCCTGTCCCTGCTGAAGAAAAGCAGGCCCAAACCATGATGCTGCCACCACCATGTTTGACAGTGGGGATGGTGTGTTCAGGGTGATGAGCTGTGTTGCTTTTACGCCAAACATATCGTTTTGCATTGTGGCCAAAAAGTTCGATTTTGGTTTCATCTGACCACAGCACCTTCTTCCACATGTTTGGTATGTCTCCCAAGTGGCTTGTGGCAAACTTTAAACGAGACTTTTTATGGATATCATTGAGAAATGGCTTTCTTCTTGCCACTCTTCCATAAAGGCCAGATTTGTGCAGTGCACGACTGATTGTTGTCCTATGGACAGACTCTCCCACCTCAGTTGTAGTTATCTGCAGTTCATCCAGAGTGATCATGGGCCTCTTGGCTGCATCTCTGATCAGTCTTCTCCTTGTTTGAGATGAAAGTTTGGAGGGACGGCCGGGTCTTGGTAGATTTGCAGTGGTCTGATACTCCTTCCATTTCAATATAATTGCTTGCACAGTGCTCCTTGAGATGTTTAAAGCTTGGGAAATCTTTTTGTATCCAAATCCGGCTTTAAACTTCTCCACAACAGTATCTCGGACCTGCCTGGTGTGTTCCTTTGTCTTCATGGTTCTCTCTGCGCTTTAAACAGAACCCTGAGACTATCAAAGAGCAGGTGCATTTATACGGAGACTTGATTACACATAGGTGCATTCTATTTATCATCATCAGTCATTTAGGACAACATTGGATCATTCAAAGATCCTCACTGAACTTCTGGAGTGAGTTTGCTGCACTGAAAGTAAAGGGGCCGAATAATATTGCACGCCCCACTTTTCAGTTTTCTATTTGTTAAAAAAGTTTAAATTATCCAATACATTTTGTTCCACTTCACGATTGTGTCCCACTTGTTGTTGATTCATGACAAAAAATTAAAATTTTATATCTTTATGTTTGAAGCCTGAAATGTGGCAAAATATTGAAAGGTTCAAGGGGGCCGAATACTTTCGCAAGGCACTGTATGTACCCTGTGCTTCTCTCCCCTTGTTGCTGGTCCATTGTGTTGTCTCTCTCCCTTTGGATTTTTGAATTTTGAAACTTGTTATCACCTTGGACTTTATTTGATTAAATAATTATTTTTTGCATTCTTGCATTTTGAGTTCTCCTCCTTCCCACCATGTGACAAAAGCGTTTCCTACAGGAATAACTCCCTTCTGTCCTGACTCTCGCTCTCAGTGTGGTGCTATTCCAATAACACTTCAGACATTGAAGAATCAGTTTCTATTTAATCGCCAGAACACACACACACACACACACTTATATTCTCCCGCTCCGGTCGCTCTGCTCCGGTCGCTGCTTTCTATAAAGGTGCGCCCCTGTGTCCGTGACGCGCCCGCACACACAGACAACACACACTCGTCCCACCGCTGCATTTTGGGGAAAGACAAATCTCACACTTGTTAACATTGCTCTGATGCAAACAACGCGTTGCATGCTCGAGCCTGTTAGCTGCAGTAGCAGAATATAAACAGGAAGAGAAGCGGAAACTCAACTTGGACAACGAGGTAGTCGCTGGAGTTAGTGTTAGTGCCACCAGCTGGACCGAACGTTGTACTACAGCACAGTTTCTCTGGCACAATTCAGAGGACATGTTCATGTGACCGCGGGCCATTTTCACACCCCTGTGGCGACGATCCGGGCCACTTGGCCTAGTACGTTTGTGAAAACCTATGTGACCGTGCCCTTACTGCCGGCGATATGAACGCAGCTCTGGCTCTGGTCATACAGGGACAGGTCGGCCCTCAGCACAGGAACACGAAGAACACGGTCGAAGCACATGTGGACAGGTTGGGCGAACTCTCATGATCCCTCGAGTATCCGATGGAGAGTATAGAGCTGGTCCAGTGTTCTGCGGCCGGGACAAAAACCACACTGCTCCTCCTGAATCTGAGATTCGACCATCGATCAGTCTTTTCTCCAGTACCTTGGAGTGAACACACCCTCCGGTGAGAGGGACCACCACCCCGGGTGTTGTTCGTGATGGACAAACCGTGACTAGCACAGAAGTCCAACAACTGAACACCGCTCAAGTTCAGATCAGGGGGACCGTTCTTCCCGATCACCCCTCTCAAAGTGTAACTGGCGTTTCCCACATGGGCGTTGAAGTCCCCCAGGAGAATAACAGAGTCCCCAGGCGGTGCACCAACCAGTACACCTCCCAAGGACTCCAAGAAGGCCTAGTAGTGCTGTTTGGCCCGTAGGCCGTCACAACAGTGAGAGACCCTCTCATTCCCGGTGAATGGTGGGAAACCGAGATGGTGGGCAATGAGTAGGGCCCTATATTATATAGACCCTATTATATTATTGTATAATAATAAGCCTGCCTTTCAACTTGTGAGTGAAGTTGTCAGGACAAAGAAAACAGATGTTTTGGCTGAACTTTTGGTGAAAGCCTTGACGATGGTGCAGGACTTGGCTTCAGCGCTGTGTGCCGAGTTGTAACCACATTACTGCGAGTGTCCAAAAAAGCACTGTATAAAATGTATGCATTTTTATAATTTATTATGTAATATCAATTCAATAATATTGATGATTCTGCTCAAAAGGCAACACATCATGTATTATCATAATCGATTACATTAATGTGTCGTTGCAGCCTTAGTGTATGGTTGAAAACTTAAGCAGCCTGCTCACTTTCTTTTCTCTTTGGCGATACATGTGGTAAGGCGGTTAAGTACAGTTGTTCTTGTCATTTCCTTTGCTGCTTCAGGTCTGGCAGGGGTGAGCTCATTCAGAAAGAAAGACTTCAGTTACAGCATGTTCCTGAACAAAGAGTCCAGCACCTGGTGAGAATGCCTTTCTGTACCATGTGTCCAGTCTGAAAATACCTCTCTGTACCATGTGTCCAATTTGCTTTTCACACAGAGCATTTATAGAATTCTAAATAGCCTAGCCCTGTGATTCCCAAATAAAATAATAAAATCAAATACATTTTGGTTCTCTGAACCTTGAATAACAGCCAATCAGAGGCTGGGAGGAAGGGGTGAAATCATAGACTGTATAAGTGCACATAGACAAATCACTCACTTTAAATAAACTCCTTGCTCTGTTTGTTTATGTCACACTCACAAATTTGGCCTAAAGAATCTGGGGTTCGGCACTCTGTATGTTTATATTTTGATCACACCCAAACCCACATATTTCCCCTGACAACTGACCGACCTGTCCTCCATTTTTGGCTTTAGCTAGTAAGTAGCGTGAGCAAGATGATCCTGGTTGGCTCTTTGGCCGCTGGCTCGTAGCTAACTAGGTCAGGCTTCAGATCCCACCCATAGAGCCAGTTTGAGTTAGCTCGAATATGCTTCTTCCACTGTAAGGGAAACACAATTAATGAATATTAATCATTATAAATATATGTAAAGCGGAAAGTATCACATGGGGAAAAAAATAAATAAATATGCAACACAAATAATACCTTATAGTTGTTGAAGACATGACATGCCAATGTCTGTTATAGAGGAGTCGAGCGGAGCAACTGTGTTGCAGGTTTAAGACAATATAAGTCAATTACTCTAACATTCAGGAATGATGGTTAAGAGGGCTTAATCTAACAACTGAATGTTTAATGTTGTATGTCTTTATGTACTGTGTTATGTCTCTTTTAACTTTTAGTCTCACACGAAGTGTTGTGACATATTTGGTTTTGTTGAATATTCCCAATTCTCTTGCTGAGCACTGTTTGTAAACCTCTGCTCCTTCTGTTCTCCTCCTCAGGGTGACTGCTCTGGCTGTGCAGACCTTGGCGATGGTGGACGAGATTCTGCCAGTGGATCGCGACTCTTTGGCAAAATCTGTGAACTGGTTGATTTACAATAGCAAAAGACCAGACGGCTCCTTCCAAGAAACATCCCTCTACAAACCCAACAAGATCATGGTGCGCAAAGACTCTGCCTGCAGTTGGAACAGCTCAAACACACTCGCACTGATGTTTTTGTTTGTAGGCCCTACCTGATGACGCTGTGGATAAGTCAGTTTACCTCACATCGTTTGTGATCATTGCACTGCACAAAGCCACCAGAATTCAAACAGACAACTTGCAAGTTCAGGTCAGTCCAAGAGGCTCAGAACATTTCTTTACCAAGACTTTAAGTTGACACAAAACGAGCTCATCATGTTGTATTTGCTCAAAGTGTTATCTTAATCTTAATTCTCCTTCATTCAAGTCATCAATTCTCTGATGTGTTTCCTTCTAATAACTGATTCTGTGCCAAATGCCTGTGTAATATTGTGCCAGTATGAGACAAAAGGGAATCGACTTCCAGCTTTTATGTATTGTTTTTATTATTAGTTATGTTTGATAGATTATGCTTTAAAGCAGACCAGAGCAGTGACCCTTCTCCTGTCTCTGTTGCAGAACCAGGAGGACAGCATACAGGCAGCAATGAAGTTTGTTCATGCAAATATGGATGCTGTGCAGAAGGTTTATGTGCTGTCAGTGGCTGCGTACGCCTTCACGCTCCACGACCCTGATGCCCTCACCACCAACCAACTCCTGGAGCGCCTGGAGGGAGTGTCCAAACAGAAGGGTACGCACTGCAGGGAAGCTAGGCACACACACCCACTTTACATTGAGTTATATAAGAGAACAGTTTGTAAATCTGGATTGATTTGACTCCAACTTGATAAGACTTTTTTCCATGTAGTAAGAGGCAGATGTCTGATATGGATGTGGTAGAGATGACACTGTTAAGTATTTATTCTAGCAGTGTTTCCCAACTGGGGTTACGCAGATCCCTTGCGGTACACAAAGATATTACACAGAGTACTTGGTAGGATTTTCCAAATTTGCAAACATTGGTACTACTATTTGGCTACCCTGGCATGTTTTACATAATTTCAAAGGCAATTTTCTCAACAACAAAAAACATTTTTGTAGACCTTGAACCCGATAAACTGTTATTTTTGCTGTTTTCTGTTCTTTTGAAAGAAAAGTTTAGATGTATTTGTCTTTCAAAAGAAGCAAAAAGCATTTTAACTCAAGACAAAATTTTAATCTGTTACTTCAGGTCCAGTGTTTCTTCAGTCTTAGCATTTCGAAAAATCTAAGGGTCAAAATAATTAAGTAAATAAATAATCTTTATTTATATAGCACCTTTCGGAGACCAGCATCACAAATCAAAGCTAACCTTTTGTAAATATTTCTACGTATTCAAAAATTACATTAAAATGAAAAATAATCACATGCAATAGATTATATAAACATACTTTCCATAAAGAAACTAGGAGACCAGTGAAGCCTAAGGCCCCGTCCCAATTCTCACCCTTGTCCTTAAAAAGCATACTTGCCCTAGATTTTGCGGGTGCCCGTGGCGGTTGTAGGGTGTCCCAATACTTAGGGAGAAGAGGCGAGGGCCTTCACACCCCTAAAAACAATTTGGTTTGGGCACACAACTATTTTTAAACACTCTTAAGAGGGGGGTGCAGGTGCCCGTTTACACAAAGGGGGTACAAAAGACAACAAAGGCTAACCACTGTGCTCAATAACTTCAGTATAGAGTTGATTTGCATGTGTTTAGGAAATCCTCCAGAGCTGAGGTACTGGCAGGAGCCGGGGGTGCACACGGAGTGGCTCAAACCGGACCAGAGCAGCGGACAAACGGTGGAGACCACAGCCTACGCTATGCTCAGCTTCCTCCAAAAGGTCCTGCTGCTACATTCTCACTTTCACTTTGTCAGAGTCAGAGCGATTACATGCACAACACAACACAGGATGCCCATTAGTGTTTAAAAAAGTTGTATAACATTGTAAAGAGTTAAACCACTCAGTCCAGAAGTCTACATTACTAAACCTAATGGCCCCAGGTCCAGTTTTGTGTCAGTACAAGCAGCTGCTGGTTCATAGAAATGTTTCAAAAATAATACTATTGTTTAGATTAGTATTCATTTGAAAGAGACAGTGCACAGAGACATAAAACTGAAAGACAGATATGTTCTGCACCACATCATAGTTCAACATCTGCTGTCTCTGGTTACATGAAAAAATATACAAAAACAGCATGGGAATTATACAAAGGCATGTAATCAATCATATATTATCAAGCCTTTGGTCAAAATTTGTGATGGATTGATGATTATGAAATGAAACATGCAAATGATGAGCTGTAATCAAACTTTACACGCATTTCTGATTAAGACGTTTTCCCCTTTTTGTCTCTATTAGTAGAATAGTCATCAAACATTTTGATAAGAATTTTTTCTCTCCCTACTCATTATTATTATTATTATGAGTATCTCTCATTTAGCACTCATCCATTATATGATTTAAAAAATATAAACATCACTCCCCGGTTTTTGTCTCTCAGGGCTCAGGGTCCCCTGAGGGTGAGTCTCAGTCGTCATCAGGTCAGGTCATATTTCGAGCTCCAAGGATCCAAGCCAGGGCTGGTCACTCCAGATGCACATCAGGTCTCCAGATACAGTCAGGTCACTTGGGTTGCTCTTCAGGTCATTTCAGATGCAGTTCTGGTCACGGTAGTGCAGTGTCACAGTTCCTGTACACACTCGTTGTGGAGTTAGGCACTGTGTATGGTTAGTCACTTTGATTCTACTTTAAAGACAATAGTTTTAATTTCAGCCAATATTATTATCATTCGATGTGGCTTATCAGATCTAATCCTAATCAATTTAATTACTTCACACAGTACAATATCAAAAAATCAAAGCAGAAAAAGTGTCAGGACAGAGGTCAATTAAGTCCATGACAACATTTCTGGTCTCGAGGTTCCGGTAATGGCGTCGGTGTGATCAGACGCACGTGAAAAGCTCCCTGATACTGCAGCTCAGTTCTTATTAATACACGCCGAACTTTATCAAGATTTGTACTTGCTAAGCCACGAGAAGTACTATTACACCTCTGAGCACCAAAATGAGTAAAACGAGCAGCGGCCGAGGTAAAAACCAGCCTCCGCTAACACAGCACTTTAGCCAACAAGACAAGGAAGCTAGCCAGGAGCCGCTAACACTGAGCATGCTAGTCGGAGAGTTGGAGAAGCTTCATAAAAGTGTGACAAGTGAGCTCACCGGGTCCATAAACAGCGCTTTGGCTCCTCTTCAAGCCTCGATCCAAACTCTGACTGAGACTGTCACTTCACACACCGCCACCATTGACGCCATGGAGACAGCTCTCTCCTCTCATTCAGATGGGATCACCGCCCTGGAGGAGCAGGTGACCACGCTTCAGTCTGAACTAATGACAGTCAAACAGGTGAACGAGAAGCTCCAATTGACCGTGGAAGACCTGATTTCTCGCTCCAAAAGAAATAATCTCCGCATTGTCGGCGTCCCGGAGGGGGCGGAGGGCGCTGACACTCGTCTCTTCGTCACCACAATGCTTAAAAAAGTCAGCGGAGATGCTCTTCAAGACCTGGACCTCGAACTCGACCGCGCTCATCGCAGTCTGGCCCCAAAGCCACTCCAAGGATCCCGACCCCTCATCGTTAGGTTTCACAGGTACATCCACAGAGAAAAAGTCTTGCAATGGGCCAAGAAGAACCGCGATGTATCATATCTGGGGCAGCCTATCCGGATCTTTGAAGATTTCAGCAACACCATCGCAAAGAAGCGGGCCAGTTTCAACAAGATCAAGAGCCAGCTCTACAAAGATGGAATACGCTTTGGCGTCATCTATCCAGCCCGCTTGAGAATCACCTTGAACGGACAGACGCACTTGTTTGACTCAGCGGAGGAGGCAGAGCGGTTCTACTCGAGGAGCAAGTGATTGTATGGAGGGCCAAACGTCCAAATTCAGTCAAGGTAAAGTTTAACAACAATTATTTGAAGAACATTATGAACAATTTCAACAGTTTCAAATGAACATTTACTCTGTTATTACCACAAAAAAAAAAAAAAAAAAAAAGTGGCCACATTTGTTTGTGTGTAATATGTATTAGTTATTAAGGGAAGCTTTCAATGATTACCGGAGTTTTGTATTCTTTCCTGCTAGCTCATCTTTTTTGTTTTCTTAGGTGAGTTTAGGACAGTTTGTTGTTTCTGATGCAAGTTAGAGCGTCAGTCACAGTTAACATGTGTGGGGGGGTTGTCATTTTATGTGTCTTTTTCCTCTTTTTTTTAATTTTTTTTTTTCTCAATGAATATACTCTATTGCAGTGCTCATGCTATTGCATTTCCACTCGATATGGCACAAGCTATTTTGTTTATTTCATGTTACCAAACTATAACATCTGGAAACAAACATTTTTGACCTAATGGAAGAACTAGACTCTATTAGATTTACGTCCTGGAATGTAAAAGGACTTGGTGGACCCGTCAAGAGAGCGAGAGTCTTTTCACATCTTAAGCAACTCAAATCAGAAATAGTTTTTCTTCAAGAGACCCATATGCGTGTCTGTGATCACACCAGGCTACGGAAGCCCTGGGTTGGACAGGTGTTTCATTCAAGTTTTAATAGCCGATCTAGAGGCACTGCAATATTAATACACAAAAAAATACGGTTTTCGCCTGATCAGATTCTACCGGACCCAAATGGACGTTATATTATTGTTGTTGGCAAATTGCTCCAAACTCCAGTTATTTTGACATGTGTTTATGCCCCCAACTGGGACTGTCCTAGCTTTGTTACAAACCTACTGTCGCTAATCCCTTGCTTAAACACACACCACCTGATCTTTGGAGGGGATTTGAACCTGGTGGCCCAGCCCAATATGGATAAATCCAACCCTAAAAACACAGCTCCGTCGAAGATGGCAAGGGCCCTGATTGATGTAATGAATCAGATAGGTTGTATAGACGTATGGCGCCATAATCATCCAACAAGGAAAGAATTTTCATTTTTCTCGCACGTACATCAGAGCCATTCTAGGATTGACTACTTCTTTTTAGACAAAATGTTGCTACCTGCGGTGAAATCATGTGAATATTCTGCTATAGTCATCTCAGACCATGCTCCTCTTTTGTTAGACGTTCAGCTTATTCCCAAAAGTGCAAATAGGCCGACTTGGCGATTTAACGCAGGATTGTTATCTTCGGATGCATTTTGTAAATTTATATCTGAGAAAATATCTCTTTTTATTCAAACTAATAAAACTGAATCCACTTCTGCATCCCTTTTGTGGGAAACTCTTAAAGCAGTATTACGTGGGGAGATTATTTCCTATTGTGCCAGAGTGAACAAACAGGAAAAGCAAAAGCAAGAGGAATTACTGGAAGCAATTCGTCTCATTGATAACCAACATTCTTCCAACGCATCACTCCGTACAGAGAGACTAAAGCTCCAAACTGAATTTGACATGATTACCACCAGCAAAGCAGAGTCACTTCTAAGACGTACAAGATACACATATTATGAACATGGTGACAGAGCGGGTCGACTGTTAGCATTGACAATCAAACGACAAGACTCATCTCGATTTATTTCACAGATCTGTAAAGACCCGCATACAAAAATCACTGACCCATTAGAGATAAATAAGACTTTTTGTCAATTTTATTCTAACCTTTATAAATCTGAGGCTCAGTTGGACAAAACTCAAATGAACGCCTTTTTGGATGATCTTAATTTCCCTCAAATTCCCAATACAACTAAAGAGAATCTTGATTCTCCTCTTTCTTTGGATGAAATTATAGCCAACCTTAAGCGAATGCAAAATGGCCGCGCGGCGGGCCCGGACGGCTTCCCAGCAGACTTTTTGAAGAAGTTTTTTGACCAACTTGCTCCTCTGCTACTTGAAATGTTTAACGAATCACTGGAATGTGGGAATCTCCCTCCAACTTTAACGCAAGCCTCAATATCACTTATTCCAAAACCAAATAAAAACTTGGAGGAGTGTAGTAGCTGGAGACCCATAAGCCTCCTCAATGCTGATGTTAAGCCAGTGTTTTTCAACCACTGTGCCGCGGCACACTAGTGTGCCGTATGATATTGTCTGGTGTGCCGTGAGAAATTCGTCTACTTTGTCTAAAAATAACTGCATTCGCTGTTGACGAGCGGTGACTTGTTTTGAACTGTGGAGTAACCATGTAATACTTTTTCAAATCAGTAGATGGCAGCAGATAGCTAAGTACTTTGAAACTGAAAAATTGGATGCGACCACTGACAGCCAGTGGTCGCATCCAATTTTTCAGTTTCAGGTCAGCATTGTGGCGAGAAAGGTAAAATTGGATGCGACCAACAAATGTGGGAGGGAGCGAGACAAGAGCTTTGTGGCGAGTGAGAAGTGAAAGTGATAGAGACGTTTTTGAAAATGAATTATGCCGTTTCTGAACAGGATTAACATCCTCCGCTCTGCCCCGGGGCAGCTGTGGCCGCGTTGTAGTGGTTTAACTATGAAATGTACCATTTTTGTACAACAGCTCTCGTGAACGCACTTCTGAACTGGGTACCGAGCGCAGACCATAGTCGAGTGGACAGAACCACAGACATGCGGACCGGACAGAACCATGGACTCGCGTTCAGGACCTCCCGTGTCCCTCATCCAAAACTCCTGAATTTAAAGCTCGGATACCTAAATTTTTCCCATGCACTAACAATGCATGTTCTTTGTGTGAGTTATTATTTGACTATGGGCAGAGAGTGGATTTTCTTTTATTTTTCTTTTATTTTTTTCCACACAGTTAGTGCCACTTTATTCCCAAACTCTTGTTAATTGTATCGAGAAATATTAAATAAAGCTTAATGTCAAGGCC